CGAGTTTTGGTGGCCTTTTTCAAACCACTAGCCATGCCAGAACTTGTCAGAACTTGTCGTTTGTTCTCGTTTTATAATCTACCCGAAATACCTACCGGGCCTTGACGATGCGAATCTGTTTAGGGTCAGGCAAATAAGAGATGATAATGGTTTAGTGAATCAGGCTGCCAGACGGGGCGTACATAAAAGCTGTATGCGAGCTGTAGAGTGGAAATGAGAATGAATGAGAATGAATGAGAATGAATGAGAATGAATGAGAATGTACCGGTTCTCTGAAGTCGTCGACATGTGCGTTTTCGTGCCTGTGGCAAGCTCGTACGTATCAGATGTTCTGCTGTTACCTCTTTTGCCTAAGCAGCTGTTAGGTGTTTTGTTTTCGCGTACCATTGCTGTGGTTTGTCTTTGTCCAGGTCATGAATCGCTGGCGACTGCACAGTCGAAGAGACGAGCAGAAGCTTAACCTCGTCTCAAAAGGAGCCGGTACGGTTTTCGTTTCACCTCGTATCCTCGTTCGGTCCTCTCTCTTCTTCTCTCCTCGTCTTTCCCCTTCTCTTCTCGTCCCTCCCATTCTCTTCCCTTCCCCTTCCCTTCTTTCCCCGTCGCTTCTCTTCGAGTTGATGCTTCGATCATCCTTCTTACCTTCACGCTTGCTCGTAGACTCCGAGCCGCATTGCATGTCCCCCCCTTTCTCGCCTTCATCTTCCTCCGCCCACCTCTGCGCCTTAAACTCCCACTCGTCTTTCCGGAACATCGTCCTTGCCTGTTTCCCCCTCACCCTCCCACCTTCCTCCCCCTACCCCTCCCCTTCCCCGTCCCCCTCTCCCTCCCATAATCCCCCTCTGCCTCCCAACCCTCTACTGCATTTCCCCTCCTCCCCTTCCTCGTCCCCCGTCCTCCACCGTCAACCCTCCTTGCTCCTCTCCTCTCGCCGTGCCTCGCGCGCAGTTGTCCGAGGGGTGCTTCTGCAGCAGCTGCTGCAGGTCGTCGTTGCCGTGCTTCTCTTCCTGGTACGCCCCCCCGTTCCAACCCCGTGTAATGAGACTGTTTTTGAGTCGACTAAGTAACGTGCTTCTGCAGCAGCTGCTGCAGGTCGTCGTTGCCGTGCTACTTTTCCTTTTACGCCCTCATTCCACCCCCACAGCCTCTCGTTCCTTGCCGCCGCGCTTGCAACACACAGCCCCTTGTTCTCATCTCTCTCTCTCTCTCTCTCTAACAGCCAGAACCACGGAGAGGTGCCGCCCAGCCTGGTGACTTTTGAGTCGACTCAAAATTCCCCCCCCTGGCTCCTCCTGCTTCTTCTCGTCCAGGTGGACCCTAACAGCCAGAACCACGGGGAGGTGCCGCCCAGCCTGTGGGTGCAGGTGGCACAGGTGGCCGTGGCAATGATAGTCATGGACGCGTGGCAGTACTTCTGGCACCGCCTCATGCACGAGAGCCGCTTCCTCTACAGGTCAGCATGCTTCTTCTCGCTTCTTGAGATGTCTCTAGGGATTGTGGGTGTGTGGGGGTGGGATTGGGACCGTAAGGGCGTAAAAAGAGTCCCTCTATAGGTGCATCTCAGATGAACGCACATCATGTCAGCCATACACACACACAGACACACACACGCATGCACACACACACACACGCGCGCGCTCACACGCACACACATACACACACACACACGCACGCACGCACACACACACGCGCACACACACACACACACACACACACAGAGACGCGCGCACGTGCGCCAAGACATTCACAAACACACTCACACGCATACAAGTAGCATGCAGACAAGAATCCATGCACACACACTCACACACACACACAGAACAGCCGCCATGCTCCACTCTCCCATCCCCTCGTCCCTGCGGTTCCATGCATTCCAGGAACCTGCACAGCTGGCACCACAGGCTGCTCGTGCCATACGCATACGGCGCCCTCTACAACCACCCCATTGAGGGGCTCATTCTTGACACATTTGGCGGCGCTGTCTCCTTCCTTGTATCCGGTGAGTCCTGCTGCCATGCTGCTCTCCTTGGTCTACTTCTCGCCCCCTTTCCACTCTCCTCTCCCCCGTTATTGCCTCCCTCTCCCCTCCCGTCTGCTTTCTCATCCCTTGCTCTACGTATTCGTACACCTTCATCCCCACGTGACGTTGTCACCCTCCCCCCCTCCTCCCCTTCCCTCCCGCCACACCAGGCATGCACCCATGCACGGCCATTTTCATCTCTACCTTCGCTACCATGAAGACTGTCGACGACCACTGCGGCCTTTGAGGGGTCTAAGAAGCCGAATTCACTGTCCTTCCCCCGTACCCTCCTCCCCTCCCCCACCCCTCCATCCCTCCAGGCATGCACCCGCGCACGGCCATTTTCTTCTTCACCTTCGCCACCATGAAGACTGTCGACGACCACTGCGGCCTTGTGCTACCCTTCAGCCCCTTCCAGCGCTTCTTTCACAACAACGCCGGTACGCCCGCCCGCCTGCACCCCCATCTCGTGCCCCCGTGCTTCTCAGGAGTCTCGAATCGAATCACTATGAGAACAATCCAGTACTGGGCTCGTCTTTTGAGTGCCTCAGATAATGCATGTTGCTCCCATTTGATGCCATGCGTGGACCTATATAGCTCATTCCTGAGCAGCACCATCGCACCTTCAATTCTCTCATCGTTCCCCACTCCCCGCCTCCTCGTTTCCTCCCTTGTCTTATCCCACTCAATTCCCCCTCTCCCCCTCATCCTCCTCTCACCATCCCTCAGCCTACCATGACATACACCACCAACTCTCAGGCTTCCGTTTCAACTACTCGCAGCCATTCTTCCCGGTGTGAGACATGCTCCTGGGCACCCACATACCCTTTGAGGCGCCTCCAAAGTCTGTTCTTCCCTCCCCCCTCCCCCCCTGCGCCTCAGCCTATCATGACATACACCACCAGCTGTCTGGGTTTCGTTTCAACTACTCACAGCCGTTCTTCCCCGTGTGGGACATGCTCCTCGGCACACACATGCCCTTCACACTCGTGCAGCGGGCAGATGGGGGATTGGAGGCCAAGGCTATCCGCAAGACAGCGCTCTCCTCTGATGCTAAGACCACCGCTGCTGCTGCTGCCGCCAAAGCCGATGCTGCTGCTGCTGCTGCTGCTGCGAATGGGGATGGGGAGGGGGAGCGCAAGGATAAGAAGAACGACTAAGGGCTTGGTGGTGGAAGCAAGCTGCATGGGCACGGGGCAGAATGCCTAACTTGGACTTCTGTTTTCAACCTGAGATATGGACGTGAGGATGTTTCCGTGAACAAGAGCTGGTGCTGAGGAGAGAAGGAAGAGGGTGTGGTGTGGTGGCATTTGGCATTTGAATCTGTGGCATCCGAGCAAGAATTACCCGAAGCGTCGGTCAAACGCCCCGGTGCCACTTGGATGGCATCTAGCCAACCATCCATCCCATCCCATCTGCTTCAGCAAATACTTCTGCTGAGCTGATTCCATTTCACGTGAAGTGCGTTTCAGCTAAGGGGTTTCTTCTCTCCGTGCCGACGTGCGCTGCTGTTTCGTATCATTATGATTCTTTTATGCAGTAGTATCATTCTGCTCCTGTTCATGTATGATGTTACTATCTTGGTGTAGGTGTTGCAGTTGCAGGTGTGTTGATGTTCCCTTCAATATTCCTGTGCAGTGCACAATATTGTGAGCGAGGTGTACTGTAATCACCCGGACATACCACCCTAGGGTGCTATGATAACTACATCATAAAAAAAGGGGGGGTCTTGTCATGGGAAAAAGCTACATAACACCCGGGTCTTTTTATAATGTACATTTTTTTTAAAGCAGAAACGGTTGGAAACAAAATGTACATGCTTGCTGCGGTGGTAGATTGTTGGTTGGGTGCGCAAAACCGAGGATGAGGCGATAACGTTAGGGCGTGTGCACTTTGGGCGAAATTTGTCAAAGTTCGAACATTCACCGCTTTGCACCGAGTAGAACCTCGCTAAAAGTTCGAACTTAGACAAAAGTTCGAACCCCTAGTGCACACGCCCTTAGCCTCGAGTGGAAGCTGCCACATTGCAAGCTCCAACAGGCCCTCTGTCATGCCCTGATTGGTCGAAAACACACCCCCCGTCGCTCGACGAGGATTCATGCAGTCACAGAGGCGGGAGTCCCGCAACAGGCTTAGCAGCCTCGCTGGTGCGGTCACGTCCCTGCGCAAAAATTAGGCGAAAACAACATTTTTTTCCGTACATAACACCCCCCCCCCCCGGGTCTTATACCGGATCGGCCCAAAAGGGGGGTATAGTAGAAACGAGGTCCGCTATAGCACCCACCCCGCACAAGCCACCCGGGGGGTGTTCTATCTCGGCGGGTGGTATGTCCGGGTGATTACGGTAGACTTGGCAGTGTCAGGGTTTTTTTCCCAGATGGGCAGTCTGGGTAGTAGCTCTCAAAAGTTAGACATTGGAGAATAGCAGATGCGTGTGGCTCTTGTTCTAGTTTTATATCAGAGTACTTCAAACAAACGAATGAATGAGTGGTACGGTACCCATATATTGATCTTCGCCAATTTTCTGAACGCTATGGCAGGGCACTAGGCATCTTATTTAGGTGCACTAGGATGTAGCACTTCATTTGTCGTAGAAAAGCAAGGTCAGGTCCAACAATACCCACAGCACAGTTATTCTTCCAAACATGTCACCATCAGTAGAGGTCCTCACCTCACAGCACGCATTGCATGTATAACGTATTGACCAGGAGCGGCTTACACACTACAAGAGCAAGATGCACTGCGCAGTAAGCTGCATGGCCAACACTGCATGTACCGGTATGGTAGGTACAGTTAATCCGCCCTGCTGCCTCTAGCCATTGGGCCGAGCCAACCAGTAGCCGCCGTAATTACACATCAAGACAAGCCAATGACATTACTGCCATGGTGTGCAGCTAGCTACACAGCAGGCACATCCCCCTCCACCCCATCCCATCGATGCTGTCCAGGCGATGATTGCCGGTGATTTGAAATGAGATGCCTTTCAGCACTGCCTGATGCTGTCAATGGATGCGGCAACAGAGTGTTTACCAGTAACAGCCGCAACGGCATGATCGCAAACCCCATCACTCTCGCCAGCAAGTGTCCCAGTCCCACCCGCCGCAGTGCCAGCAGTGCCACACATACCGGTGGTGGTGCCTGTGCCAACCATTGCAGGGGCACCAGCAGCAGTCTCAGTCTCCTCCCTGGCACCAGCAGTTGCATCCACGCCATTCATTACAGCAAGATTGCTGTGATCGCACTGAATGATGTCGCCACCCATACTCCATGACGAAGCATACCCTGTTCGGAAACTCGCGCTCGTACTCGCACTCGCATTCCCCTCCCCATTCAGCCACATGTTCCGGACCAACACACCCGCCCCTCCCACCTCTCTCACACTCCTCTCCCCCACCCCCACGTCCCCTCCCTCTCCTGGATATCTGCTATCCCTCACACTTCCCTTCCCAGAATCCTCTTCTCTGGTTGCAGTGAAAGCAGCAGTGGGACTAGTAGTAGTAGCAGCAGCAGCAGCAGCAGCAGCAGCCACCACAGCAGAAGAAGGCATCATTCCCTCCCTAACATCTCCCCAGCTGCCCCTAACCCCACTTCCTTCCCCCACCAGCACCCTCTCGCCGTCCTTCTTCCCATCCTTAACCTTCCCCTCTTCCCTCCCATCAATCTCTCGTTCCCGACTCGGCCCAGCGCCCGGTTCCTCTGCACCACTGATGAGATCCGCTTCACCGTTCCCAACCATGGGCATTCTCTCTGAATCTTCTCCTCTCAACCCGTCCTCCGAGCCCTCTGCATCCGCCCCATGCCCACTTAAGTCAAACACATGCCCCGCTACAGGAACACACAAGCAAGAAACCCCTGTACCATGACCATGCCCCTGCCCATGCCCATGCCCCTGCCCCTGCCCCTGCCCATACCCATGCCCATGCCCCTCTGAATGTCGCAATAGAGGGCCGTTCTCGCCCTCCTCCTCACCTCCTACCTGCTCTCCTCTCCCTTCCTCGTCCTCTCCTGACCCTTGTGCTACAGCTCCCACTCCCCCTACCGCATCCACATCTTCACCATTCCGCCTGCAAGCGTCCGAGCCCTGCGTCACACCATTACCAGCAGCATGTCCTGCTGTACCATTCGGTGCACCCAACCCTCCTTTTCCTTCCTCGCTTTCAACAGCACCAGCAACACCAACAGCACCAACAGCACCAGCAACACTAGCAACACCAACAACACCAGCAGCGGCACTCAGGTCACCATCACCACTCTCCTGCTCTGCTCCATGAGCATTTGCCTTAGACAGCCCCCGGCCCAGCCAGGCCAGCAGTGGCACTCGTGCCAGCACCGCACCCCACCTCCACCCTCCCTCCCTTCCCTCCACTCCTCCCACCCCTGCTGCCGCCACTCCATCTCCATCCATTGCCCCATCCCCACCACCATCACCTGCGCCCTGCCCCATATCAGCAGCAGCGGAGCGATCCCTACTCGCCCCACCAGCGTCCACCTCTCCTAAAGACCCTGATCCTTTCCCCCGGCGGAGGGACATAGAGTGTGCGATGACAGACAGCTTCCGCTCCTCCACCAACGACGCTTCCAGCGGAGAGACGTAGAAATCCGGGTTGATAAGCTGGTGAATGTTGTCGGAGGGTGGTGCGTCCGGAGAGAGGTCTGGGTTGTGCAGTGGGCGCATGCAGAAGGGCATGTACTCGGGCGCCATGTCATCCATGCGCTGTAGCATGTCGTGGTTCTCATTGTACTCGTCCACGTCTACTGCTAGCTCCAACGGGAGGAACCTGCCGTGGGAGAGCACAAGGAAGGGAACGGAGTCTATTTGTGAGGCGCCTCAGAAATAGAATTCTCAAATCCGGGTGCTGTGGCTCTGATTGTACTCGCCCACATCCTCTGCACTCTCCAATAAGAGGAACTTGCTGGGGGGCACGAGGGGGCGCATGCAGAAGGGCATGTACGAGTACAATCAGAGCCATGACATGTTGCAGCGCATGGGCGCCATGTCGTCCATGCGCTGCAACATGCCATGGCTCTGATTGTACTCGTCCACGTCTACTGCTAGCTCCAACAGGAGGAACCTGCCGTGGGGGCACGAGCGGGAGCACGAGGGGGAAAAAGTGCAGAGATTAGTTGTAGCGCTGAAACAAAAAAGAGGAGATGGAGCAGGGGAGCAGTGGAAAGGCAGGGAGGGATAAAGGGGATATCGTAAAGGAGGGAAGGGTAAGTGGAAAGGTTGAGAGGGTGAGAGCAGTGAGAGCAGTGAGACAGTGAGACAGTGAGAGCAGTGAGACAGTGAGAGCAGTGAGACAGTGAGACAGTGAGAGCAGTGAGACAGTGAGAGCAGTGAGACAGTGAGACAGTGAGAGCAGTGAGACAGTGAGAGCCAGGAGAACAGGAGAGCCGGATGAGCAGTAGGAGCGGGGAGGGTTGGGAGGGAGCGCAGGAAAGGGGCGCACGGAGGGAGATCAGGGAGCAAGATCTAGACTGACTGGTGAATGGTGGGGGCACTGACTGGAAGGTGACTCTTGACTTTTGAGTCAACTGAAAAGTCAACTGGTGAATGGTGGGGTCACTGACTGGAAGGTGTTGGTGAACTTGGCGTGTATGAGCGCCATGGAGTAGAACGTCACAAAGGGTAAGAGGGGAGAGGTTGAGAGGGAGCGAGCAGGGAGAGCAGGGAGCAGGGAGGGCGGCAACTGACTGGAAGGTGTTGGTGAACTTGGCGTGTACAAGCGCCATGAAGTAGAAGGTCACAAAGGGAAGCGGCGCTGCTGCTGCAGCTTGCAGGAATGCCTGCTTGATGACAAAGATGCCGACCACAGTCACCTGCATGCACGAGTGCACCATGGCAACATGCGTAGTTACTTTTGAGGCGCCTCAAAACACGACTACACGCGTAGGTGTCAGCTGCTCCCTGCCAGCACGACAACACGCGTAGGTGTCAGCTGCTCCCTGCCAGCATGCGTGCTTGTGTTCGCATGTGGGCGCACGCGTGTGTGTACGTGTGTGCGTGGCCTGCATGACGAGCATGTGCATGGCAGCAACACTGACCGTAAACGCCGTTCAACTAGCGTGAAAAGAGTGATTGGTGCCAATGCGGCCAGGGCGACCACAGTGACAAAAATTGACCGAAAATGCCCCAGCTATCTCAGCTACCCCAACCGCCCCAGCTGCCCCAGCTGCCCCAGCTGCCCCAGACCTGTGCAATGATGAGAGCCGCGTTGACATGCCCCACGAACTTGATCCACAGAAGCCCTCCCGTCTGGTACGGGTACGAGTACACATACATGATCTGAAAAGGGGGCAGATGGTGTGGGCATAGCAGAGAGAGAGGACGGGGGTGGTTGGTTCGGGTTGAAGGCGGAGGTGATGGTAAGTGTGGGACTGAGGACCATCGGAGCGAGAAGTTGTTTGAAAGAAACAAACACAATTCCAGAGGGTATGACAAGGCCACCGACATGGGGTGGTGGGGGATGGGGGTGTGGGGTAGCGGAAAGGGGGGCTGGACGGGGAAGGGAGTGGGTGGGGAGGAGAAGGGATGAAGGAACTGTGTGGGGATAAGATAAGGCTTACATGCGGTGCAGGATTGGAAGAAACGACATGGGTATGGAGTGGAATATACAGTGTAGTGGAATATACAGTGTAGTGGAATATACAGCGGTTGACCGACCCACCTGGTGCTTCCACACGAGGTACCCAACGCAGGAGTAGAAGCAGACAAAGGGCAGGATGATGGGGGCGATGACAGCATACACGAGGCCGATGGTGATCACCAGGTTCTGATACGGAAAGAAGATGTGGTAGTTGATGCCGCCCTGGGGGTGGTTGGGATGGGATCAAGTGGAGAGATATGAGGAGCCAAGGAGGCCGAGGTTGGTTGCCGAATTAAGCTAGTGCGTGGGAGGAAGATGAGGTAGTTGTAGTTCCTGCCACCCTGAGAGTCGGTTGGGCTTGCATGCGTCTAAAAGGAGAGGCGTGAAGGAAGGTAAGGGGAGAGAAATGTAGTGCAGTTGAGCGGGTGAGGAAATGGATGAGGACAAGTCGGGGCATAGAGGGCCGGGTGGGGACAGTATGGGGATGCGATGGAAAGGCAGTCAAGCTCATTAAGGCTGTGTCAACATATTCTTATCCCAATTAACAAAAACAACAACGGGGTGCTCCGAGAATCGAACTCGGGACCTCTCGCACCCGAAGCGAGAATCATACCACTAGACCAAGCACCCATGTTAAGTGGGCCACAAAAACATAAGAGCAGCTCAGACGTAACATGTTACCTTCACTCATCATCTACTTTGCTCCTAAAGCCTCTCGCCGGCCCTTCGTTTCCCCTTCAACCTCTTCCCCGCAACTTATAAATACACCACACTCCTTTTCCTGCATGTATGGCACACCTACTTCTTCCTCCTCTCCGAACCTTCTTGCTTCCAGCCCGTCCTCCCCCCCCCCTCCCACCCCCCACCCACCTGGTTCCAGAGCTTCTCGCGGTCGGCAATGGCGACCCCAGTGAAGATGACGCGGAAGAGGTAGATGAAGAGGGCGAGGGGCAGGCGCAGCAGCTCGACGCCAAAGATGATGGTGGACGTCATCACGTACGACAGGTAGAACCCCGACGTGCTCGGCACCGACTTACCCAGGATCTCCAGCACGTATGATGGCTGCTCCAGGAGCAGCTGTTGATTGGCAGGGTGGGGACGGGGTTGAGTTGAGAGTATTGATACGAGGTTGCGAAAAGAAAGAATTGGGAGAGGAGGGAGGGATGGTAACATTTCACTGCGTGTGTAGTACATCTTTCCCAATCTGCTGTACTGGCAACACCACTACAAACACCCAAACCAGCTGCACCAGAAGAACATTCTGTGCACACCTGAATCTGCTGCAGGACGGACGTGGTGAAGAAGAATCCGAAGAAGATATTGCAGAGCAGGATGTAGTAGAAGCGCGTTTCGAGGCGGCTCTAAACATCAATCACACGTGTTCCGAGGCGCCTCAAACAGAAACCACACCTGGATTTGCTGCAGGACGGACGTGGTGAAGAAGAACCCGAAGAAGATATTGCAGAGCAGGATGTAGTAGAAACGCTCTGCTGCGAGGCGCTCAGCAGCGGAGGTGGAGAGGCAGCCCTGCATGTAGGAGAGCATGACCATGAGCGGTGGCGCTATCCAGTAGCACACTCGCAGCCCCACTGCCGGCAGGATGAGCGTCAGGCCCTTGTACAGCCACCCGCTGCACAGTGGGGATGGAGAGAGGAGAGAATTTTTTTGAGATGTTTCAGAGGTCGATCCAGTAGCACACTCGCAGCCCCACTGCTGGCAGGATGAGCGTCAACCCCTTGTACAGCCACCCGCTGCATGGAAGTGGAGGAGGGGTGGGAGAGAGACGGGAGGGGAGGAGGGGGGAAGCTTTAGAAACGGAAGGGTTGGACAGAGGGAGTTGGGGGGAAAGTGAGGAGGGGGAGGTGTGGGAGAGGGAAGCAGAGGCAAGTGAAAGATGCAGTAAAAGCGCTCGGTTGGATGGCAGGGTGAGTGTCAACCCCCCCCCCCTCTTGAATAGCACCCCGCTGCATGGAAGGGAAGTAGGGGTGGGGGGCGAGAGCGGAGGGGAGGGAGGAGGGTGAGGACTTACGAGGTGTCTTGTAAGTTAATTGAGACACATATGTGAGGTCCCAGAGTGGCGTGGTGCAACATCACAATCCCCCTATTTCATTCCTCAATTCCTCAATTACATCTATTCGCCCTGCATTCCTCCGATGACTCTCCAGACCCATCCCAACCCCCCAACCATCCACCCATCCACCACCAGCCCAGGCGCTCACTTTTGATCGATATCCTTGAGCGGCGGGAAGATAGCAGCAAGCGTGTCAAAGGAGATGAGGAAGCTGGCGGCAGTGACGGGCAGGTAGAAGAAGAGCACAGAGCACACAAAGATGCCGTTCGCCACCTGCGTGCGGATGCGCCGCTCCCAGAACCGCGGCTCCAGGTTCTGCCACACCACGTCCCGGGGCTCGGGCGCGCGGTGCACCAGCCATGCGGAGCCTTGTAGTGCGTGCGCTGTTTGGACTGCCACGGCTGAAGAGCGTCGCTTGCAGAAGGCTACAAAGGCCGCGCCCGTGCGCCTGAGGGTCAAGGGGAGAGGGAGTGGGGCGAAGGGGAGAAGCCGTGGAGCGAAGGGGAGAGGGTATGAATAAAAAAGGAGAAGACGAGGTTCTGCCACACCATGTCGCGCGGCTCGGGCGTGCGGTGCACCAGCCACGCGGAGCCTGCAGTGCGTGCGCTGTCTGGACTGCGACTGCTGACGAGCGCCGCTTGCAGAAGGCCACAAAGGCTGCGCCCCTGCGCCTGGGGGCGAAGGGGGTGGGGAGTGGGGCGAAGGGAGACGATGAGGGACGGGGGAAGTCTGCGGCTGCAGCGAGCATTTCAAGTTGCTCCATTTGTGGTGAGGAGCGAGCAACTCTGCTTACAATATGCACCATCCGTTTTTTTTATCTGCAGGCTGCAAAACCAGATGTCCAGGCAACAAAATTAAGCAGCACAAAGCTTCACAACCAGGACAAGCGTGCACCTTCTCCCTCTTCACCCTCCCCCTTTCCCTCTTCCCTCTCACCCCTTACTCCCCATTTCCCTCTTCCCTTCCCCCTCCCCCTTCTTCAAATCAAACCCACTCTTGCCCCCAACCGTTACCTGCGAGCAGAGGCGGTTCTCTGTGCCTCTTTGAGCGCCTTGGTGGCGTCCTCCACCTGTCGTATCCAGTAATCGATGCTGGGCTCCCTGGGCCCCACCATGAACACCTGCACACATGGGTACGGGCACAGGCACAGGCACAAGCAGAGGCGCAGACACAGGCACAGGCACAGTCACACGACACAGGCAGAGGGACAGGCAGAGGGAAGAGGGGGGCAGAGGTGTCACACACAGCCACAGGCACAGCCACAGCCAAATCCTGGAGCACAAGATCTGAACACGCCATTCCAAAATGCGACCAAGGCAATCCAACCAGTTACTGAAACCAAAACAATGGGCGATAATGCAGGAGAAGGGAGGGGGAAGGGGGCGGTGACGGAGGGGAACAGCAGAAAGAATGGGGGCAGGAAGGCGACAGGAAGAGAGAGACAACGACAGAGGGAGAAAAAGAACACACAGGGAGCGAGGAGAGGGAGAGCATACCTGGCGCAGCAGCCCGTCTCGAGTCCTGGGAACAAGCTCCTCCTCAGGCCTGGGGTTCTTCCGCTGGCGGTTCCGCTCCAGACTCTGCTGGTACCGGAAGCGTGTGCGGTCCAGCATCTGGACCGCGTGGCGCCAGCGGGCGTACGCGCGCATGACCTTGCCGTAGCTGGCGACGCCCTGGTTGTTGAGGTAGGAGTCGGGGTAGAGGCGCGAGAAGAAGCGGTCCACGAACTGGGAGTCCGCCACGGCGGACGCGGACGTGCAGTCGGCGCGCTGCGGGGGCTGCACGGCGCCCATGGTGACGATGCGCAGCAGGGTGAAGAGCCGGCGTACTGCCGGCTTGCTCAGCTTCACTGTCGGGCTGCGTGGGGGGGGGAGACGGGACGAGGCACGAGGGCCACGGGGGGCACGGGGGGCTTGGCGTGGCATGAGGCGTGGCGTGGCGTGGGAGAGTGGACAGGAAGGAAGCTTTCATGATGGTGTTGCACCAATGGAGCTCCAGCCCAGTTTCATGCATTGCCGCAGCGCAATGCTCCCACAGCGCCATTCCAATCCCAACGCTCGCACAAACCAGACCGACAGTGCAGGGAAGTTAAGCAAGAAAAAAACAAATCTACCTGCACTCGTTTCCATCGACCTTGCACCAGCCCAGACCCGTCTACCCTGCTCGCACTTACACAACGCCTTCCTTGGGCGCGAACAGCCCCACACTAGACTCCTGCCTCAGCTTCGGAGGCTGCGGCACATCAGTGACGAGCACCACATACTCCTCGGGATGCAGCACCTTGGCTCTCGACGCAAGGTAGTCGTGCCTCAGCCCCCAAACGTGGCGGTACGTCCACCAGATTATCAGAAACGTCGTTATAGACACCGCGTACAGCATCACTAAATGAGCCCAGAACACCGGGGAGCCTGGAGGCACGTTGCTTATAGAGAGGAAGTCTAAACTGGAGCTGTTGAAAGGGGTGCTGGTGGTGACGCTGGTGGTAGTGGTGGTGACAGTGGTGCTGTTAGGAGTGGAGAAATTCCCTGTGGGGATGCATGTCCAAGGGCCACCTGGAAAAGGGAGTCCGCCCGTGGACGAATTATCAAGTGCGCTCGTGTTGTCAAAGCTTGTAATATAGCTGAAACCAGTGCTGGTGTAGTTGACATCTACGCCGTACGGAATCCCTATCAGGCTGATGCAGTGTTCTCTCAGCGTCGAATTCCCGCATGTTTCAGTCACATTCCAGCAGCCCTCTGTGCTGTTCCAATAATAGCCTCTACCAGTGCCATACACTGTGCCGTTCCTGTCCGCACTCCCACTGCTGTTCCTGCTGCCGCTGCTGCTGGTAGTCCTGCTGCTCGCAGTGACTCCTAAAATGCTCCTCTCGCTCCTCATACTGAACCAATCGTCCACCCCTCCGTTTCTGCTCGCCTGCCTCCCCGCACTCCTTGTTGGAGTTTCAAGCAAAATGCGACTAAAACGAGCGGTTGAATTTCCTGAGCCGCTGCTGTTGCTACCGCTGCTGCCGTTCAGGCTGCTGTTGCTGCTACTAATAGCGTTGGTGTTGTTGTATGTAGTCGTAGACACGGTCTTAGTGGTGGTCGTGGTCGTTGTGTTTCCCACAGTCATAGTCGTCACGGCACTGATAGTTATGGTAGAGGAGTTGCTGACATACCCGCCGTGCGTCAACAGCTCACGGCTGCTCACCGCGTTAAGCGGCAGAAGCACCGGCAGGCAAAGCAGGCTCAGCACCCCAAACAGCTGTATACTAAACTGGAACATTCTCAAATACACCGCGGCATCCAGCCCTGCACACTCCACTATATCCGCTTCCGTGGCCTTCAATACAGGCACGACCCAGTCAAACGGCCGGGCCATGGGCTTGTGGGGAGCGTGGGGGTCGTTCATGTACATGCGCGAGGCGAGCAGGCGACGGAAGAAGGTGAAGAAGTGGAGGAGGAAGAAGAGAAGCAGAAAGGCGCCGAGTCCCGCGAACATGAAGATCACCAGCGTCGCGAAATCCGCCATAGTATTCGCCTCCATGGCGCGTGATGCTGTGGGGACTGGAAGAGGTGGTAAGGGTGGTGTGCTGGTGCCGCTGCTGCTGCTGCTGTTCCTGCTCCTGCCGCTGCTGCTCCTGCTACTGCTGCGGATGCACGTGCTGCTGCTGCTGCTGCTGCTGCTGCTGCTGCTGCTGCTGCTGCTGCTGCTGCTGCTGCTGCTGCTGCTGCTGCTGCTGCTGCTGCTGCTGATGCTGTTGGAGGATGACTGGACCTAGGATGTCCAGAAAAGCAAGCGCCGGGACGAACGCCGATGATTGGTGGGTGGTGAAACCCAGCGGCGCGAGAGATCAACTTGCTTTTACATTATATGACGAAGCGCGTACAACAGAGTCCATCGGGTTTTGCTCGTGATGATTCTGAATCATCTGCTCCGCAAACCCGACGCGCGTCGCATGAGAGCAGCAGATAAAATGCTGTTGCTACTGGAAACTCGGAGAATTGACTCCTTTCCTGCCAGGTGTTAAGGAACTGCAGCACGAACCGGTGCTGACAGGCGGCTGGCTTTCATGCTATACCCGATCAGACCAATCGGGCCAAGCGATTTTTAGTCGCCTTATTGGCTGAACAAACAGGACGGGCTTCCAAAAAAATTGGAGAGGTGACTTAGCATGAGCAACAAATTGTTGACCGACCTTGACGCAGCACAGGAGCAGGAGTTCTGCTGCAGCCAAATACACTTAGCACCAGTTGTGTGAACAGGCAAGGCAGGGTTGTGCAAGTGAGTTGAGTGTATGTGCGACAGCTTGAAAGATGGAGAAATTTAGAAACCTCGAGCATGACGCACTGCTGTGGGAGGGACCAGGGACACATGAGGCGAAGCAAAACGACGCATGTATAGAGGTCCGCGCCCCAGCCACAGGCTGGGCGGACTGGTCCGTGGAGCCAGCGGCGTGGCCCACGCGCAGCGCCGTACCTTTCGTGGTGGTGGTTCCGACAAGGGGTGATTCTAACTAGTTTGCGAGGCTTGGGTGTGGCTAAATAGGGCGCAAATTTCCCACAAAAATTTTACCTTGGTTTGATTCGTTTCAAATTGGTGTTCAAAACGAGTACTACACGCATGCAAATATTAAGAAAAAAAATCAGTTCATCAAGAATGTACAGTAAACTAGCAAGGAAAGAGTCATGCCAAACCCACTATTGCCACAACCCACTCCACAGCCCATCCCAAACTAGCAGCAACAGTGAATTGTGCAGGCATGAAAGCACCTGTTCCAGCTAAGCATGAACTGGGAGCTGCAGCATGGACAAAGAGCATGGCTGGTGGCTTATGAGATGGGTTTGAGAGGAAGGCTGGCAAGAATAGGAAGGGTCATTGCCAAAGCTAAAGGAAAAATAGACAGGAATTGGGGGACAAGAGCAGCAACTGGAAAAAGGGCAAGTAGAATGCAAACAGCAACACTCCAAAAAGACTTGAAAAAGAGAGCAGAAGAACCGCAGCGTGGCGTAAGCGATGCACAAGTCGCGCGATGACAATGGCTGGTGCAGGCGGGCGGGATGGACGATGATTGGTGGCGGCGGGTGGACAATGGCTGATGATTGCAGGTGCAATGGATGATGGCTGGTGCAGTCTTGGTCTCAACAGCAGCATGAGGTAAATCCCAAGATCTCCCTTCCACCAATACTTGAAGGCATTGAGCTTTCCCTAGGCCGTGGCATCGAAGCACGAGAGCAGGCTGGAGAAGAGCTCATCCTCCATGATGCCACCAATGCCGCCACAGTCCAGCCCGCCCAGGAGCAACCCGGCCAAATCCTCGCCCTCCCCATCCGAACCAGCAGCAACACCAGCAGCAGCAGCAGCAGCCTGAGACTCCTGTTGCTCATTGCTCCAGTCAGTCACAGCACTCTCAGGCGATCCCTGCTCAAACGCCAAGGATCCCTTCATCACCACACCAGTCTCCGCCTTCGCAGCGTCAGCAGCAACAGCAATTTCAGCTTCTTCAACGGTCGTCTCCTGCTTGTTAGCTGGCAGGAGATCCACAAAGACACTAGGAGGAGGCGTGTTCTTCAGCTCATCCGCGCTGCCGCCGCTGTTGGAGCTGCCATTGCTGCTGCCCGCGCCGTTGCCCTTGACCGCACTCTCACCCGCCGCTCCAGATGCGGCCGTTGCTGCTGCGTCACTCTCGAGGTTGAGCGGGATGCCCGCGCTGGCGGCCGCCTTGCGCAGCGCCGCGAGCTCCGCCATGAGGCGGCTGTTCTCCATCTCCAGCCGGCTCATCTGCTGCGTCGCGCGCCCCAGCTTCGCCACCACCTGCGCATCGCGGATCAACCAGCGCAACGGGAGGGAGACGGAGCGGGAAGATGGAAAATGACGATGCGGTTGCCATGGTCCATGGCTGAGCGACGGTGCGCGACGGTCGGAAACGACGCCGTATGACAAGCGGCGTAACCGAGTAGGATTGGAAGGAATCGACATGACTCGTCCTATTTGAATGAGACGACTGATATGAGTCGAAGAACGGCTGATGAGCCGAAGAAGGGCAAAGAGTCAGACGGAGAATGGTGGAGCGGACGCACCTGTGCGTGGTCGGCGTGCAGCACCTCCGTCTCGCGCTCCAGCTCCTCCAGCCGCTCCTGGCGCCGCTGGCGAGAGCGCTTCGCCGAAGCGCGGTTCGACATGATGCTGCGAGAGACGGGGGGAAGAACCGAGAAGCCGAAACGATAAACAGTAAGACCGACGACAAGGACGGTTAAACACACCGACACATCATGATGAAGAGAAACCTGACGAGAAAAAATAAAAGACGCAGCTGTCACGGCTATCTGTAAGAACCATAGACAGTTGTTCCAGCTCACCGCTTCGTCTTCTTCTCCTCCGTCTCGACTTCCACCGCCATCAGACTACTCGCGAAGTCGCCGGCGCCGGAGCCAAGAGTAGGGTTCGACGCGGCAGACGGAGCGAGCTGCGCCGCGAGGGGGAGGAACGGAAGGCCTGACAAGGTTGCCGGCATGGCCGCGGCAACGGACGCGGCGGAGAGCATACTCGCGGCAGGAAGACCGGTTACTGCGCCGGCAAGCGGGCCGGCGAGCGCAGCGGAATTACCGGTTGCGGACACCCCGGAAATCCCCGCGGCCGCGCGGATCCAGGAGTCCATGGCGGAAGACGGGGGGGGAGTGGGCGCGGGGAAAGGAGCGGCGCGCCCGGACAGCTGCTGCGATTGGGAGAGGTACTCGAGGAGCTTCTGCTGCTGTTGCTGCTGCTGCTGCTTCTTAATGTCCTCAATAACGGACTGCTCCATTCGTGCTATAAAGTTGGACGCGGCGTTGTCGAACTCGGAAGAGACGGATGGGCATGCAGTCTGACGCATGATTTTAGCGGGCCTGGCCAAGGAAGAAGGAAGGAGGCATCAAGGTGATGAGCGATGGCGAGGGAACAAAGTTGCAGAGGGAGGCTAGAGGACAGCATGGGGAGAAAGAGGCGTAGAACGAAAGAGTGCGCGGGAGAAGGGAAGACGGTGGAAAGGAGGTAAGAGAGGAGCGTAAGAAAGAGGACTTAGCAGGGGAAAGGCAAACATGATTGCGAGAAGGAGAACGCAGAATTGCCCAATTAATTGACGCAAATCTCCGCATCGAGCATAAACGAAGAACAATAACAGGCTCACGGCCGCAAAAAGGCCTCTGATACCCAAAAGTCCACAAGCGTTAACTGAGACCAAGCAAAACAGCTCGCTATGCATGGTTGCCGACGTGAGCCATCCACCATGCCAGCTTCTGAGCAGCTTGAAAGAAGCTCGTCAATTGTCTGGATCTACTGACCACAGGAACACAAGATCTATGCCCGCGATCTAACAATCTGCTTCCTTCATAAATCGAGAGTTTTGAAAACGATACGAAGTGGGCTACTCCTGTTGCCTATCGAACCTTTCGCAGGAGCGGGGACCAAAGTCACGACGGCAACTACAAGCAAGTGACGCAGAGGAGTAAGAGATAGGGGAGAGATGAAAGGTCGCTCCGGGAACCGATCGGGACGCACACTTGGAATGGAGACGTGAGCTGCGGGCCGGCGCACGAAGCGAGCGGTCGTTTCAAAGGCAGCTGCGGGGCAGCCAGGAGAGATCCATTTCTCCCAGCGACAGTCGCGGAGCCAATTGCGGCGCCTGGCGCACGCGAGTAGACAGGCAAGCCCGTGGCGGGTGGTGCCGTGCTGCCCCGAGCGAGGGCAGCTGCGGCCCGAGCGAGATCATAGCCGCCGCCGCGAACAGCAGCGCCGGCGCCAGCAGGCTGCTGCTGGAAGTTCGCGGCCTGCGGGAGTAGATCAGGAGGACGACACATATTGTCTTGGCGTTACTAGATCGGTAGCGTAAAGTTAAGCAGAGAGAATGTAGAAAGACAATCGACTCTCATTCAAGGAGGTTCCTGTTCGCACGTCAACTAGGTGACTTGTTCCAACTGGATGGAGTGACGTTTGGGTGGACAGGAGAGGGTTTGCTTTGGGAGTGAGGCAGTCTCTCGATTCTTGGAGGTAGTGAGGGGCAGCGGAGAAAGCGAGGCGGGCGGGGAAAGTGAGGGACAGCCTAGCCTAGGGTAGGAAAGCTGGGGTTTCCACAAGGTAGGGGGAGTTGGGGGAATCGGGGAATGCGGGGAACATGCTGTGGGATTGGGGGAATTCGGGGAGGGAATGCGGAAGAGTTGGCGAAATAGCGGATGAGGCGGGGTGTGTGGCAAGGAGAAATTCCCCTTGGGAGCTGGGGTGGACGGAACAGGACGGGACGGAATGTGAGCAGCAGGGTAGGGTTTCGTTGCGTGCGACCCTGCGTCAGGCGGTGAGTCGCGAGAAGCTCTTCAAGAGAAGTCATATCGCGGGTTGGGCCGGCCCAGACTACGTCAAACCAATCGGAAAGTGGCGCGGCAACAGGTGAATGGATGGAACTCAGAAATTGGATGGTTGACGATGAGCGAGGGGTCATGCATGCTTCCAAGTTGGCTGGTTTGTTGGGAAGTTCGTTCGACGAAAATTGCGAGCGTGGAAATTTGCAATACAGTACAGTACTTTCTGTCATGAACACCAACTGAAAACAGCGTCGGGAATCTGAAAGCGGTAACAACATATTCGATTAAAATTAATAGTTCCCAGTGTGAAGGTGGCTGCCCAAACGTTCAGGGAGCAAAAACTGACGAAAAGCTGACTCTACTGTAGTTAGAAACTCCCGAAGTGAGTGCACGGAGTGCGGTGACTACGAACCCATGCGCGCCAGTTTGGCAGCGCAGCTGCAAGCGCAAAGCAGTGCCGAAGGCAGCATTGATCGCGCATCACACGAACCGCCATGCCGGTTCGATATTATTTCCTGATTCTCCCTTCACCCCGAACCTTGTTGGCTGGCCCACTCCAGCTGCCACTTTCTGGACTCCAATTTTATAAGAAGTTACCCTTTTCTAACTTCAAATGAAAGTCCAAAATTCCAGTTTCTCCACCCGTCACCACCTGAATGCGTGGCATTTCGTCCCCTAACGTAGTAATTCAAACTGCAATCGGAGCTAGGTGGTGAGACCAGGTTGCTAAACTCGAAAAAAACAGCTCTTTCGTGCTGCCACACATCATAGCAGGGCAGGTTGACCCTCAGCGACTTTATTCGGCTCGGCGATTCGGCCTTGCCGAATCTAGCGGCTGCCAAATCTGCCCTCACTTGGTTGGTGTGAGGGACCACCAATCAGTCAGACCAGCAATCTGAAATTTGCTGTTGTGCACTGCAATGATCTCGTTATGGTACGAGCCGCTAGTGCTTCCAATCCTTAATGAAATTAGTGAATGATACTACATTAACTCTACTATTGGGGCACAAAAGCCATGTCGTGACCAACTTTTTACGTTCTGATTACTCATGTCGCAGACATTAACGGTGTGTAGTCGCAACACTGCAGCGTGTTGGTTTGAGAAGGTTTTTTCCTGTGGAAAAACCTAACATTTTGAAGTTTTACAAGGCCGATATCAAGTCACCAGTGGAAAATCAAAACTCGTATTTTTTTCATTATTTTTTTTTTTTTTTCAAGACCAAACATCATCAAAGAACTAAGCCGGTGCGGGACATGTGCCACGTATTGGAAGAAGGCTTAGGAAGTGAAGTGGTGCCATTGCTGATTGTGGCGGTGGCTGCAGTGGAGCTACCACGGGTTCGAATGGGCTTGAGTTTGACCCCCAGCGCTGCCATAGAAAGCTCTTCGGGTCTGAACGATTCTTGTGAGCTCATCTTGTGCATGGACCAAGATGCGAGGGAGGTGACAGATAGAGGAGAGGAAGCGCAAGGGGAGTAGGAGCAGGAGGAGCAGGCGTCATGGGAGGATGAAGAAGGAGAAGCAGCAGCGGAGCAGTGTTGGTGATGTCTGGAAGCGAAGTAGTCCTTGGAGCAGGTCAAGGTGGAAAGCGAGCAGGCAGGAGAGGCAGCAGACGACACACTGGCAGCAGAGAGCCACGCGGTCGTAAGGGATGATGACGAAGCAGCTGAATTGGATGACTCTGGTCGAGGGAAAGGGCTGCTGTTGGGGGACGCTGCTGCTGACGTAGCTGCTGAGCTGGCTGCTGACCCGACAGCTGAGCTCGCAACAGACGCTGCAGCAGACCCCGACCGTGACGATGCTGCCGACGCTGCCGCTGCTGCTGCTGCCACGGCCTCACAGTAATCCAGCGATGCTGCAAAGGGCGACACACAGTGCATGCCTTGCCGGGCAAAGAACGTCTCGAGGGGTTTCCTGAGCATGTGCGGCCGCTCCTCTGTGACGAGAGCACCCGAGGCCTCCACTTGAACCCAGGATGTGGTCATGGGGTCCAGGTGGCACATCATGTGCGCCGCTTCTTGCATTGATGCCTCTGACATCTCGCCTGCTACCAGCAGCACAGGGCAGCTGAGGTGCAGCAGGAAGGGCGTGAGGTCGATGCGGCTGAGAGGGATTTAGGGGAATGGGTAAGGGTGAGAGAGGAGAAAGAAGGGGAAGGAATGAGTGCATTGTTGCTTGCGGTATTGTTGCACGGGCTGGAGCGGGCAAGGAAGTGGGAATGGCAGTTTTGAGGCGCCTCAAAACTAAATGGGAATGGCAGAAGTGCTGAACCTGCGGTGGTGACGAACGACCCGGAGGCTCCGGACCGTCAACGGTAATGGTGATGTAAGACAGACAAAATATGTGCACGTGAGCATGAGATGACTCTGGCTTACCTGTGAATGATGTCGAGGTAACGCATGACGTTCTCTGGCTCCCTGTTGTCCAACTCCTGCATTCAGTCAGACACAGTCAGTCAGAGTCAGTAAGTCAGTGAGGGTCAATCAGTCAGCACAGCAATGTTCACCAGTGCAAGGCAGAGCACGAGTAAACGCAGGAGGCAGCAACAGCAAAGCCGACTGCGTCTTCACAAGCCGGCAACGAGATGCTACGCACAAGCAGGAGCGACCCAAAACTAGCCGTACACCGCAGCCACCAAAGCACACCTCTGCGCGCACCTCTGTGCGCACTTCAGAAATATTATTTTTCTCAACATGTCGCCGGCCTGCCTGCCTGCCTGCCTGCCTGCCTGCCTGCTCACCTGGCGGAACATGAGAATGGAGTCAGAGGCGGGGCCGTGGAAGCCGGTCTGCTGGTGGCAGAAGTAGCGGTGCACGAGCGCGTCCTTGACGTACTTGCTCATGCCCGCCATGCACAGCACGCCCAGCAGCACCTTGCTGCGCGCCCACTCGCCCCACGACGCAGCCCGGCACACGGGTGAAATCAGCACCAGCGACTGCACCGCGTGGGGCCGCGCCAGCTGTTGGGGGGCCGCGGCGGAAGGGGGAAGGGGTGGGGGAAAGGGGGAGAGCAGGAGGCAGGTGCGGGAGAGGGGAGGAGAAGAGACAGATGAGAGGAATGGAGGGATGGGGAGGAGATCGGGCGGGAGAGCCGAGATGGGAAAGAGCCAGCAAGAAAGGGAGCAGGGAGAAGAACAAGGAACGAGAAGGAAGCGGTACTGACCGCGAGCAGCGTGAGGACGTACGCCCCCGCGCCGACGCCGATGCACACGGCGGGCGGCAGGCGGAACCACGCCATCACCTCCGCCACCTGCTCCGCCAAGTCGCTCGCCGTGAGCTGCGCCTGCAGCGGAGAGATCTCCTCCGCGCCCGCCTCGTGCCCGGGCGCGTCGATGTGGTAGACGCAGAAGTTGCCGAGCAGCAGGTGCGCTGTATCGGGACACAGCATCAGGCCCTCGAAGCACGTGGAGTCTGCAGGGTTCGATCCCGGGGGGGGCGGGTGGGCGGGGAGATTGAAAGGGAGGAGGAGAATGGGGGATGGGGGGGCTGGAGTGAGTTGAGGGATGCGAACCGAAAAGCGAAAGGAATGATGGAATCATGGCGGAGCCTGTTTACGGAGAGGCGGCTGCGGAATGACCAACGATGATTATTCGGGAACGAAGCGAGCAACGCTGGGTTGGACGAGCAATCTAACATCCTGAGACTGGCAGAACAGAAGCCGTGGACAGGGGGGCGAGGGTCGGGGAAGAGGGCGAGGAGTGGAGTGGTGGGAGAGGGCGGGCGCTCACGGTTCAAGCCAATGTCGTGGTACGTAAGGAGCGGCGGCAGCGACCGGTTCCCGCACACCGTCACGCGGAGCGGCCCGTGCGTGGTCATCACAGTTTCCGCCTGCGCGGGGAAGCGAACGATGGGAGGAGAAACGGGGAAGGGAAGCGAAAGGCGCTTTTGACGGGACTTTTGGGAATCCCCAAGAGTGGCAAGGGAAGGCACGGAGGAGTGCGTTAGGACGGGGTAACCTGCTCGATAGGGCAGTGACAAATGTGTCAGGGGAGCGGCTGGAACGGCTGAAGAGACCTAAGCGCAACTTCTCTTCTTTAGGTGTCTTGGTCTACGGCCGGGCCGGAATACTGCCGCTGCTACTGCTACTGATACTGATACTGCTACCACGACTACATGTCTAGTCGCGGTGCGTGCTTCGGCCCGTATATTGTTTCTGAACACCGCCGCACCATGCGCGCAGGGGTACGAGTGCCGCCGCCTATCCCATTGTGCCTCTCGAGCTAACCACCAACGGTCTCTCGGTGGGCCCTGACTGGATCAAGTGGAGTGAATTAGATACTACGCAAGGAACTCCCATCTCCTGTCACCTGCCTGTCACCTGCCTGTCACCTGCCTGTCGCCTGCCTGTCACCTGCCTGTCGCATGCCTGTCACCTGCCTGTCGCCTGCCTGTCACCTGCACCATAGGAGACCTTGTCCCCGATCTCCTCTCCCCGGTCTGCATCATAGTTCTCCCGTGTGCTGCAGTCTCCTGTCGCCTATCTCTCACTATCGCCTGTCTCCATTACTATGCTGATATCTCAAGGCAGATACAAATGACGGCAGCATCGCTCACCTGCCCTCTCCACGGCGCTTGCTCCTCGTCGCCGGAGTAGTAACCCGTGCGACTGCTGCGACCGCTGCGATCGCTGTGGTCCGCGAACTCCTCGTCGCAGAAGTCGCCATCTCCGCCCCACATCCAGTCGGTACTACTAGATGATCCTGTCATTGCGTCTGGTAGGTCTAGCTCGGGAAAAGCACAACTCTAAACAGTGGCGACGGTCGCTGTGCGACGCTTTCTGGTCGCCGCTTACAGCGGCCTGGCGGCGTTATGCGGAGGCGAACGATAGGTGGTGGAGATTGAATGGAGCGTGACCTTCGATTGCGAGGAAATGTTGAAGAATATGTCGTTAATGCGGAAGTCGATGGATTTACTCCTGGTCAGTGAACAGATGCACGAGGAGAATGTTCTAGTTTGATTTGTGTTGCCGCTGCAGTTGCGAGTGAATAAACCTGATTGCTGGATACCACCGAATGTGCTTCCAGGCTGTACTAGGTAAGACTCAGGCTCCTTCGGAGCGCGGAAGTGGAACCTGATGAAGCAAATGAAAGCGGAAAATAATGCTGAAAGAGCGGCGGTCATCGTATTTGAGGCCTGCTGCTGCTTGCTGTGATCGCGGATACACGGTGGCCTGTGTCTTACTTGCCAAATTCGACAGGCAATCAGCCCTCGTGCAGCTGTGCAAGGTAAGGAGGGAGGGAGCAGGGTGCGGTTGGGGTAAGGGATTCGGTTTGGTTTGGGAATCCTACAGACCCCACACCTCGCGAGTCGCGACCCGACAAACCACACCCCAGTGGGCGCATTTGGCGAATGTCTCTCCTTCGGGATTTCGCTTGGGTGGAACCTCAACTTTCGGTCAGGCGGCAATGTGCGGTAGGGCTGGGGAGAAACATGGCGAGGCGAGGCGGTCTGCGTGCGAAAGATTTACCATAAAATAAGTCACCACGTTACGCAGCCCATTTTCCGTGCAGCTCTCGTCGTGGTTTCGGTACGCGCCAGCGGGCGGCATCCACCCTTGGTTGCTGTCGCACCGAAATTTGTGTGCCGCGTGCGACCCGGACGGGAGGAAAACAAAAGTTTAGGCGGGCCGCCCGCCATTTGAATGTTTCGAAGCTTCCCCACAGCCATGTTGCTCTGCTTGCTGCTATTCGTGGGGGTTGTGGGGTTTGTGGGCGACACGGGGGAGTCCACTCGCATCCACACCCCTACCACGGGTTCCGTGCTGCATGACAGCTCCTCTCGCATGGGCGCTTTCGGCGTCTCGCAACACTCAATTGAAATGTGCTACAGCATCATACAGCACATATTACATAGCCCTAAATTAGTTAAAAATGTTAAGAGTATTTACTCTCCCAATGTGGTGACACTTCTATTTGTTCATGCCTTCAAAGTAATTTGTATTATGCTGCACTAGAACTGGGCACAGAGGGCAAGCCTTGAGTGCTTGCACAGTGTATTTTCAAAACCAACCATTACATACTACACACAACTTGGCAACTCTATTGAGATCTGGTACGTCCTTATGCGAAAACTGCGGCAGCTGAAAAGGCTGCCACGATTAGATTAGGTTAAGGATAGCAGATTGGATAAGTAGCAGCAAATGTTTGTGGTTAGGGTAATATTTATGCGGGCTTTCCATAGTAGGATGTGGGCCTGCTGTAGGTGGCTGTGCTGGCACTGAAGCAGTTAGCAGAATCAGGTACATGGAGGATGTGAGAGGTGGTGCTGCAGCTCATGAAGATAGGTTGTTGAATTTCTGGGCTGCTTGGCTGTTGGATGGTATGGGTGGCAGATATGCCTTGTGTTTGATGGCAAACGTGTTGGATCGCATGAGTGGTGGATACGGCATGTCTTGGATGGCAGAGTGATGAATAACATGAGCTGGATCGCTTGGGGAGTGGTGGATAGCGCATGTTTCGAATGGCTTAGATGGCTTGGGATACTCGCTGTTGGATGGTTGGGGTTCCCCTCTTCTTCCCTTTCCCCCCATTTTCCTCCTCTCCCTCCACCCTTTTCCTCGCAGCATCGCCATCATCTAAGGTCCGCCTCATCCCCATAGTCCCCATTCCCATCCCCTCCAATCCCGCCCACATGCGCCATACTCGACGCCATCCGTGCCGCTTTCGCAGCCGCCAGGGGCGTGGCCTGCGGAGTGGGGACCACCGACTGGGGGTTGAAGATGCGCCAGGGCGCGCACGTGTTGCTGGCGAGCGCCATCCACAGGTCAAAGCCGGCCTCCCATGAGTACGGGCTGGACGTGTGCAGCTCCACGGCTACTTGGTTGGCGCCCGTGCGGAGGAGAGATGGGAAGTTGGCGAGGGAGACGGAGAAGGTGGACCAGGGCGCATTGGGACTTGCATCTATGGATGCCTGGTGGGGTGGGAAGGAGGGAAGAGAGGAGGGAGGGGGAGGGGGAGAAACTGCTTCTGAGGGACATCAAGTGACGGAGAAGGTGGACCAGGGCGCATTGGGACTTGCATCCATGGATGCCTGATGTGGGGGGGAGGGTAGGGACGAGGAGGGTAGGAAGGGAGGAAGGTGAAGGGGGGGGTTGTTGGGTTGGTTGGAGAAGCGGGGGAGGCAGTGGAGGGATAAAGAGTTGGGGGGGGAGGGGGTGGACATGCTAAGGGTAGGTTGAACCCACATCAGTTCTCATGATCAGCCAGATCAGTTCTCATGATCAGCCAGATCAGTTCTCATGATCAGCCAGATCAGTTCTCATGATCAGCCAGATCAGTTCTCATGATCAACCAGATCAGATCTCATGATCAACCAGATCAGTTCTCATGATCAGCCAGATCAGTTCTCATGATCAGCCAGATCAGTTCTCATGATCAGCCAGATCAGTTCTCATGAACAGCCAGATCAGTTCTCATGATCAACCAGATCAGTTCTCATGATCAGCCAGATCAGTTCTCATGATCAGCCAGATCAGTTCTCATGAAAGCATGGCACTGGGCCACAAGAAAGGAGGGGAAGGAAGGAAACGGCTATAGAAAGTAAAGACCAGCGTGTCCCTTGTCCCACGTCCCATGTCCCACGTCCCATGTTCCATGTCCCATGTCCCACGATTCGCCTTCCATAACAACGTTATGGACTCACGGGGGTGGTGGGGAGAATGCGGCCCTGCGGCATGTTGGAGCGCAGCACCTCCTTGCCGTTGACATAGACCACAAAGCCATGTGATGGTAAATGTCTCTAGAGACCTCTCAATAGATTGTAAGTTCTTTCTCTCTCACACGTGGCCATAACCCTACAGAGAGTGTGCCACTCACGGGGGTGGTGGGGAGAATGCGGCCCTGAGGCATGTTGGAGCGCAGCACCTCCTTGCCGTTGACATAGACCACAAAGCCATCGCTGGCCACCACACCCAGCAGCAGCCGCTGGTAGCACAGAGGTGACGTGCTGCCCAGCTTGAACTGCTTCCGGAAATAGAACGCCAGGCACGTCTGAACACACACACAGGGGGCCGGGGCAAGGGGGTGTGAGGGGGAAGCGGGGGTTGGGTGGGAGCAGAGGGGAAATGAGGGTAGCACAGCGGCAGCGACGTGCTGCACAGCTTGAACTGCTTCTGAAAGTAGAACGCCAGGCACGTCTGAACATACAGACAGACAAAGGGGGATGCGAGGGGGCGGGAGGGGGACTGTAGAGGCGCCTAAAAAATCAGCTTCAATTGCTTCCGAAAGTAGAGCTCCAGGCACGTCTGAACACATGCACAAAGGGGGATGCGAGGGGGCGGGAGGGGGACGAGAAGGGGGAGAGTGGGAGAGAGAACGGTGGGTGCGGTCGGGTGGGGTGGGGTGGGGTGGAATGTGGACTCACGGGTTGTGGGCTGGCGAGAGTGGTGAGTTCGCCCTGGCCACCACGGCCAAAGGGCCCCACGCCACGCTTCCAGTTAAAGTCAGAGGCAGGGAGGGGCTTGAGCGAGAGGAAGGAGGCGGGGCGCGTGCCGGAATCAGAGTAGTGCCACGTCCCGGACGAGGAGAACACTCCGCATTGCCTGCTTGGAAAGGAGGGCGATGCAGAGGTGTGGACCCCACGCAGAGATGCGGGGGAGATGAGTAAAGAGATCATGAGGGTAGGATTGGTCGCCCCCACGCTCGTGTGCGAACTCATCTTAGGTAGGTAGGCAGGTAGGAGGTACAAGGTCCTATCCTTCTCAGCTTGTGACCAGCACAACTACGCTCTAATGAGCGCTCGCTTCGCTTGTAAAGCATTTTTAGTGGACTCAAAGAAGGGACTGCAAAGCTGCACCCCCTGTAAGAGTGTGCCGCACTCACGTGTACGGTGTACGTGCAGGCAATGGAGGCGACTTTTTGAGGCGCCTCAAAAGTCGTCCCCCGTGAGAGTGTGCCGCACCGAACTCACGTGTATGTGCAGGCAATGGGGCTGACTTTTAAGGCGGTGTACGTGCAGGCGATGGGGCCGACTTTTAAGGCACCTCAAAAGTCGTCCCTTGTGAGAGTGTGCTGCACTCACGTGTACGTGCAGGCAATGGAGCCGCGGACAGCGGAGAGCGAGACGACGACCGAGGAGGAGGAGCCCATGGTGATCTGCAGGTTGACGTTGCGCTGCGCGTCACACTTGTACGCGAGCTGCGTGATGTTCTTGAACGGCGCACTCACCCCGCCACACGCTCTGATGGGCGGGCGGAGGGAAGGGGGGAGGAGAGGGAGGCAATGTGGGAGGTCGTCACACTTGTATGCCAACGGTGTCATGTTCTTAAACGGCGCGTTCACCCTGCCACATGCTCTGATGGGTGAGGAAGGAAAGCGGACAGGGAGGGAGGGATGGAATCAGTAAAAGGCGGGGGAAGCGGAGAGATTATCCTAACCACTATGGGCACTGGAGTGAAACGTGCATGTTCCAAACATTCCATCCAACTACATTCCCCGCTTCCCTCTCTTCCTCTAACGCCTCTCCCCTTACATATCCCCATTCCTCTCCCTCTCCGCACACTTCCCCTCACCACACCAAACACCCACACCGCTCCACACCACGCCACTCACTGCCAGAACAATTTCGGCGCCGAAGCCACCTGCCACACCATTCTGGGCGCAGGAGGCGCCAACTGCAGCACCACGGACGAGGAGCAACTAAGCCCTTGGTCCGTGTACGCGAGAGACACAGGGCCCGAGGGGAGAGCGGTAAAGGTGATGAGGTAGGAGGTGTTGGCGGGGAGGTTGACGTAGCGTGCGCCGTCGGGGTTGATCACTGTGCCGTCTGCGATTCGCGTGAGGAGGAAGGGCGCGCCCATGATGCCCACGCTGCGGTAACAGGCTCGCGGGCACGCCATGCCGTTCCAGTGCGGCCGCTGGGGGACGGGAGGGGGGTGCGGGGAGAGAGGAGGGGGGTGGATAAGAGTTGGGGGTGGTACGTATGGGATGCACGCATAACACAACAACGCGAGAAGTGGCTGCATTGGCCCGTGTTGCCCACGCGAGCACGCCTGCGGGCATGCCATGCCGTTCCAGCTGGGTGGGCAGAAGGGGAGAGGATGTTAGGGGAGAGAGGTGGAGAGGGGGGAGTTGTGGAGAGGGGAGGGGGGTGTGTATGAGCCGGATGATGCATGTGGTGCATGACAACACTGGCAGCAGTGGCAGCATGCATTGGGTTGATTGAAGGGAGACGGTAACACGGCTTAGTAGACACATACGCTGCTCGGTCTGGAATCACCCCCCCACCAGCCGAAGCAAACAGCACACAGCACACAAAACAACAGAACCCCCCTCCCTTCCAGACACCCCCTCCTTCTCTCTCCCCTTCATCCCTCCCCACAGCACATACCGGAGAGCAGCCAACAGTCGACGAGGGTTCCAGCCCAGTCGTATTCGCCACAGCATACCCACCCGTACCGCCCAGCACCGTCCCATCTTCATCCTTCCACGTGAGAAACCTTGTCAGCGGGCCCGCGTCCCCTCCGCCAGTCTCAAACCCCAGCTGCCCCAGCTGCCGCGGAACCATCCAGAGAAAGGGAGAGCGATCCGCCATCCTTATCCTCGCGCTGCTATGCGCAGTGGTCCACATGTCCGTGCCGTGCCCGTTGGCTGTCACCGCGGCCGAGGTTCGGCACTTGTTGAAGAACTTCCCGAACGTGCAGTTGACGATGCGGTGCGGCATGCCCTTGCGCCCGTGCCCCGGGTACTCGTCCTGGTCGATCAGCACACCGAACTGGGTCCAGTAGCGCGAGACGGTGGGGGAGTTGGAGCGCGCCACGTCGGGGGTGGAGGCGAACGGGAGGTCGCAGGAGCCGGTTTTTTCCACGCGGGACTTGCAGGCCGTGTACTCTGTGTGCGTGTTGTCGCACCCCAGGGGGTTCCCTGTGTTGTCTGTTTCGCCCAGGATTACCGAGTTGGAGATCTGGGGGAGGCCAGGAGTGGTGAGGGGGAGTGGAGGGGTGGGGGAGGGGGGAGTGAGGAAAAGGCGGCGGTGGGGCTGTTGTGTGACGGTTGGTTGACTGCTGGTGAACTGAGCTTGAAACAAGGAGCACCGGGCGTGAAGTATGAAGCATGGAGCATGGTGCAGCACTCCGCCTCTCCCCGTCAACAAGCACCATCACGAGACCTGCTGCTGCATGAGTGCCTGGAATCCTTTCCCCTTCCCCCTTTCTCCCCTCCCTGCTCTCACCGTGACGGCCTGGTCGCGGTTGAGCTCAATGCCCACAATGGCATTGTCCGCCACCTGCGCCTCTGTGATGGTCAGTGAATCCGTCTCATGGATGAACATGCTGGCAGCAGGACGAGGACAGGGGGAGGGGAGGGGGAGTTGGCAGGAAGGGGTGGTCGTGGTGGATAGAGTGTGGCATGAAAAAACGGAAACGGAGATAGAGGAAAGGGGAAGGTTGTGGTGTATGAGGGGAGAGGGTGTGGCAGGTTGAGAGCAGGTGTGAACCAGTGAAGGTGGATGTGACAGCGCATAGGAAGAGAGAAAGAATTTTCAGTGGTGGGAGGGGTGGGGGGGAACTGAGAACGAGGTGAGAGAGAAGAGCAACCACAGTGGCGGTTTAAAAGAGAAGCGGAAAGAAGGTAATGCCCGAAAAAATTACTCACCCTATGAACTGGTTCTTGTACGCCCGGAAGCCCTTGAATGTAATGTTCGCTGCGGGCTGACATGGGCAGACGAACGGGCAGGGCGGGGAAAAAGCAAGAGACTTAAAAAAGTGATCGAGGAGGCAACGAACCAGAAGACGGCTCGTACTTGGCGGTCCACAAATTACCATGCAACCTCGAGGGACCTACACCCTGTCCATGCAACCTCAGGGAACCTGGGGCAACCTCGGGGTTCCACAAATTACCATGGAACCTAGATTTTACCCGTACATTGTGCTCCCCCCACTTCAACCTCCCTCTTTTGCCAACCCCCCGACCCGGCGGCTCACACACACATCCAACTAAGAAAGCTTTAGGATGGCGAACTTCAGCGAATCTATACTCTACAGCAAGCGAAGCTTGCACTCCCGTAAGGCACTTCTCCCCCACTTCTTTACAGGCTTTTTCCTCACTCGCCCAATCCCTTTTCTCACTGCTACGCTACTTTTCTCCCTCGCCTCCGGTCGTACCGCGTTGATCCCCGAATATTCCTGCTGCGTCGATACCCCCCCGTTGAGGCGCGGGCGGTACCCCGAGGGGTACGTGCGCAGCCCAGCGCGTCCGTTGGAGTGCGCCGCGTTGCCCACGAACAAACCCAGCGGCATGAGCTTCGGCGCCATGGCCGCCGCGCGCGCGTATAACGCGGACGGCCCTTTCACGTCCGCCTCGAGCTGGAACCAGAATCCCGAATCGCTCGACCCCGCTGCGACATTCCCGATGAACGTGTTGTTGGGGTTCGTGATCCAGAACGTCGACGGCGCGTTGTCGCTCTGTACGGCGGGTTTCGCGTCGAGCGGAGTCAGCATGCGCTGCGGAGGCTCTTGCAAAAACCCTAGGTTCTTATAAAACACGTTGCCGGTTTCGATGCCGTCCTCCAGCAGGAAGCAGTGCCCCTTGGTGTTAATCCCCAGGTTCCACTCCAGACGCAGATTCCACGTGCCGTGCACCACGTAGCACCGTTGATTACTATCATGCACGCTACAACTGCTGACCACCGAGCCCTTAACGTTCTGGCAGAGGTGGAAGTGCAAGGGGTAGCGGCCGAGGTTGCCCTGCTGGCCCATGTTGACGAGCTCGACGCCCTTGATGAGCTGCCGCTCCGCCGTCTGCATCACCATGAAATGCCCGCCGATCAGCGGGTCCTCGGGGTTCTGGTGGCCCTGAATCACGATCGCGCGCGACAGCAGCGCCACCTCCGCCGCCTCGTCCACCGTCGCGCCCGCCACGCCCGACGCCACCGCCTCCCCCCAGTGCATCCACGCCAGCGCGCCGCGCAGCCCCAGCACCGTCGTGTTGCCCGGACCTCGCGCCACGGATCTGATTGTGAAGTTCTCCGCCTGGTAACGGTCGAAATCCGTTGACGTGATCGCAATCACTCCGCCCACCGGCCACGCGCTCACGTCCCCCTTTACGCGGATTGCGCGCGCGCCCGCGGGGGCAGTCGCGGCGAGCGTGGTCCACGCGGGCGCGTTGCCGTACATGCCGTTGAGCTCGAGCCGCCCGCCGACGGTGGCAAACACGCGCACGCCCACGGAGCGCGGCTGGTACGGCGCGGCGGGGGGGCGAGTGATGGTGAGCTCGTTGGCGGCACCGGTAAGATTGACGGTTAGCTTGCCGGCATAAGGCGACGTTGCTGTGCCGACGGTGACGCGGCCCTGATTCAGAATGAACGCCGCATTCACCTGCAGCGGGCCCAACGCCTCCACCCTGCGCCATGCGCGCGCACGCGGACGCACGGGGGAACGGGGGAACGCGGGGTACGGGGGTTTGGAAAGGTGGCAGGGAGGTAACGATTGGGAAAGGTAAGGGACAGCGGAAGGGGACGAGTCATGATGGGGACAAGAACGACACGGAAGGGTGCTCTGGAGGCGTCTCACGATCAGAAAAGATGTTGAGGCTAGGCAGGTGTTGGGAGGAAGGGGAAGATGAGATATGAGTGGGTGTTGAGGGTGGTGAGCGGGATGGAGGGTGGGGTGGGGAGGTGGGGAATCAGCGCTTACTTAAGCCAGCCGTTGATCTTTAGAAAGTAGACGGTGATGCTGACGTCTAAGAGCATCCCAACGCCGCACATTATCGTCGCGTTGGCGCCTCGGTTGTTCCCCACACCTGGCACTCTGTTATTGGGCCACGCCCGCGGGTCGCTCCACCGCTTCCACCCTTTAGGAGGAGGGTCTTTGTACGACTCAGGTCCGCAGAAGGGCTTGAACACGTCCGTTACGTCTCCGCGCGAGAGCGCTGCGGCTGACAGCAGCAGCACTGTTACTAGTAGCGCTGTCGCGGCTGGTCTTGATACTGTCGGTTGGTGTTGGTGTTGTTGCGGTTGTCGTTGTCGTTGCGGCATGGTCGGAGAGCAGGAAATGCTTTGATGATGATGTATCGATACAGAAAGTAATGATGTATGATCTAGTCTGTGGTCGGACGTGCTCACGATTGGCTGTTCGCGTCGCCTGTCCAGCACTGCTGATCGCGAGGCACCACGATGTAGGCACTGCGCCATTGTGTTTCTGCTTCGTTTCCCTTCGTTTCTCTGTTTCGCTCCGCTCGCAGGCTCGCTACACGCGGACTATCGACTAAAGGGTTGTCTTTTGACCGTTGACGGGTCTTTACTTCTCGGGCGAATGGGTCACGGCGTTATTGAAAAAGGCACTGTAGAGTACTCGGTGCGGAGAGAGTAAGGTGTCTGTGCTGCCGACATTCGAGGAGGACAGTGAGAATCGCAGTTGATCGTGAGGTCTCGTGTGGCTGTGCCCTACTGGGGAAGGTACAGCCTCCGAAACTGTCCTGCTTCCTAATCTGCATCACTACACTGACGCGTAAACAGCCAATCCCTAGCCTGGTGAAGGCGAAACAACTGTACTGGTATGGTGGAACCAGCAAGTCATGACACCCAGAACGGAGCGCAGATTGAGGTTGGTCGGGAGGGGCGAAAAAGCAGGAACATTAGCGCTTTATCTCCGTTTACAGAGAGACATTTGAATGAGGGTCGGTCGGTCGAGCCGAGCCGGCGAAAATTACCTTGGCGAACAAGTCGCATATGTATGTAGGGGATGGATGAGGCTCAGGGGCCGGCGGTCGGGAGGGATGGGGGTGGGAAATGGCAGGGGAGAAATGGCTGGCACCAGGGGGGCTGTGGTGCGACGGAATTGGCCTCCAGAAAACGTCGGGGAGGACTCTGGAGACTCTGGTTCGGAGTCGGACTCAGGTGAGAAGGGAAGGCGGGCGAAGTGGAGGCGTTATTCAGTGCGAGGCGCAAGCATTCTTCCTTGACCTGCCAAGGACACCCAAACCAAACGGGGCGGTTGCGTGATTGGTGCCATGCCGTAGCTGACCTACTCGCTTGGGCATGGTCTCAAACGTCGACTGAAGCCTTGGAGATGTTCTTCCACATAGGGGAACCAAAGCTGTGGGCAGCTACACTGGCTCCCTTTGGTTCGGGCACGGCTCGCAAATATCGAGACACACGTTTGCGCAGGTGCCACCACGGTTCCGTCGCTCCATCATCTTAGGGGAGCCGAAGCAGCTAGCCAAGCCGCGCCACCAGGCCAGTCGAATGACGGCTGTGTGAAATCCCCCAGCTTTGCGGGTTAGGTTGCCCTTTTGGCTCGGCACGGCTGCCACGGGCCAGAACAACCATGCATGACCAATCGTGTGCTTCCCACCGTCCAGCAAGAAGTGCAGAAAGTTGTTCTCGCTACAAAGTTATGGTGATTTACGCGAGTGTATTACGCAATTCTCTAAGAAGGAATATGAAAGTATACATAGCGTGGGTGATGGGAAAACCGAAGGTATACAGAGCCTACCTGGATAGCATAAAGATAGGATAGTACACTACAGAGTTTTTGTGCATGCCATTAGGCTTTGTTGATTTTCCCTTGGTAATAGCTTTTTACAAACTTTCCATGGATAACATCACAACGATTACGGTGTAAGCAGCTATTATCAAATAAATTCCAGAAATCCATGGCGGAGGGTACGACGCCTAACGAACAGAAGGATCAGGACGTGGAACGCGCGGACATGGCGCGTGTTGATGCCGCTGACATCAATAACGACGAGCAAGGCGACGATGAGGACGACAACGATTTTGACGACTTTGCTGATTACACTGATACCGAGGAGGAGGAAGACGATGATGATACGACAAGCGATGAGGAAGGAGGAGCGAACAAGGAAGGTGACGGGGAAGGAGATGAGGAGGAAGAGGACGCTGATTGGCTGCCTCGATGGTTGAAAGCTCGTTACGAAAGCCGTCTTCCCCTTCGCAGATGGAACTGCCTAAACTGCACCAACGTTAACGTCGCCGTCAACGTCGACGGCAATGGTAACGGCGAGACGAACCGTGCGGCCAGGGGACGCAAGCGGGATTCCCAAGACTCGGAAGACGAGACAAGCACAGAGGTGGAAGTATTAGAGGCGAGGGATCACGACGAGAGTGACAGCAACGGGAGTGACAGTGACGTGCAGGAGGTTATGACGGAAGTGGAAATTGAGCTGAAAGAAGAGAAAGAGGAGGAGGAGGAGAAGAAGAAGAAGGAGAAGAAAGAGAAGGGAAAGGAGAGAGGGGAGCGGAGTGGAGGGAAGGGTACGGCGAAGAGTGAGCGGATGGGCTCCCAGGAGAGGAAAGGGGTGGCCAATCATGTTGATGAAGAGTGTGACGTAAGTATGAGCAGAATCAGGGTTGTGTCTGCTGGTAGCCTGGTAGGAGGGGAATGTGCTGGAGATGTTTCAGGTGGTGGTTCCACAGAGAATTTTGGCAGTCACGGGTGAAGCATGACGGTTTTGTGGGCTCATGAGCACACACAAACACGTGTCCCTTTGTCGTTCAATCGCACTCATTCACCATGCACCATGCAACCGCTCTGTGCAGGTGTGTGGGGCCGTCGAGTCCTTCTCCATCCGTTCTGTGGAGGAGATGGGAGCCACAGCAGCAGCAGCGGCGGCTGCGGAAGCAGCAGCAGCAAGGATTAACTCACCAGTAGCAGGAGCTGGGACAAGGACGACACCAGAGGCTGGAAAATCAGGGAAAAAGAAATCGAGAGTGAAGAGAGCAGGAGAAGGAGGGGGTGAGGGCTTGGAAGGGCAGACTGCGATTGGATGTGATGAGAGGATGCTGCTGCATGAGGAGGTGAGATGGATGGAAGTGAACGGGTTGAGTTTCGGTGTTGTTGCATGAGGAGGTGAGGTGTTGTTGCATGAGGAGGTGAGGTGTTGCGCACATGACATGACATGACATGACATGACATGACATGACATGACATGACATGACATGCCTGCATTTGGTCTCTCTCTCCTCCCTGCACATCATGTGCCTCATGGTATCTCTCCCCCCCCTGCTCAACCTCCCCGCCTCTGCCCCCGTCATCTCGCACCCGCCCCCCTCGTCTGTGCGACATGACATGTGCTGCATGTGCTGCATGGCTGCATGCGTTGCAGGTGGGCAGTGCCTCTCTGCATCCTGAGCGACCGGACCGTCTGCGAGCCATTCTGGCGTATCTTAAAGGAGCAGGTGGGCGTGGGTCCCATTGCAAAGGGGTCGGAGAGGAGAACATAAGGTGAGGGCGGGTGAAAGGGAGTGATTTTTGAGAATTCTCAAAAATCATTGGCGGGTGAAAGGGGTCAGTTTGCCCTGTTGATTCTTCTTGCCTTCTGCATATGCATGTCTTAGAGCTCCTATACAAGGGTTTGCACGTGTGGGGAAGACAGCTTGTAGTATAAGTGTGTATGTCTGCTCGTGCTTGTGTGCCTATGGGTGGATGCATGTGTGTATGTGCAGGGTTGTTTCCAGGTCCTTGTAAGGCATGGCCATCGGAGAGTGCAGCAGATGATCTTATTCTCAATGTGAGCTGCGCTGCTGTGATGTGGTCATGTGCTGCATTGCATGCATCATGTGATGATGCTTGCAGCCAATCATGTTCACTTGAGCAACACGCATTTACGCACAACTCCTGAGGTGCTGCAAGAAACAAAACGTCTGTGCTGGTGTGACGTGTGCATGAGATACTCGCAGTAACATGATCATATGCACGTCAGCAACATGCATCCGCTCACACTCGATAGGAGCACTCTCATGATCGCTCTCGTCGTGCTGTGCTGCTCTTTGTGCTGCTGCCCGTGTTTCTCGATACAGCTGCCCTCTCACACATGTGTTTCTCCCTGCTCTCTTTGTTTCTTCTGGGGTTCAGCTTTGCTTGCTGTTGCTCTTGACCAATCTTCTGCTCAGTGGTGCCATGCAAACCTTCCATTCCACACGCCCAGTGCTTTGCATTCTACATATCATTCCATGATAACCCACAATCCTTCATGCCATGCCGTTCCCCACTCCACCAGAGCCACACGGCAAAGCATTTGGCAATGGTGGACAAGGCAGCTAAAACTGACACCAGGTACGCTTTATTCCGAAATCAGAATCATTATCAGGTGGGGAGCTTCATTCCACCCATCAATGCAGTCAGGTGGGTGGGTGGGTGAGTACTGGACTGGACTACACAGATTCTCATGAGCTCCAGCCCAGACTATGGCTGTGCACGTGCGGAAACACCACGTGCGGAAACACCACGTGCGGAAACACCACGTGCGGAAACACCACGTGCGGAAACACCACGTGCGGAAACACCACGTGCGGAAACACCACGTGCGGAAACACCACGTGCGGAAACACCACGTGCGGAAACACCACGTGCGGAAACACCACGTGCGGAAACACCACGTGCGGAAACACCACGTGCGGAAACACCACGTGCGGAAACACCACGTGCGGAAACACCACGTGCGGAAACACCACGTGCGGAAACACCACGTGCGGAAACACCACGTGCGGAAACACCACGTGCGGAAACACCACGTGCGGAAACACCACGTGCAGTTATGCACACTTACTGCTTCCTGCCCGCATCCTCTGTCTGCCTGCCTGCCTCCCCTCACCTCACCCGGCTGACCTCTTTCTCCCTTCCCTGCACTGCATTCCACTGCCATCCACCGCCATTAACTAACTGCTCAAATTGCGTCAACAATTGCTGGCCATTATCACGATTCAGCAGTGCTTACACGCACCTCCCGACTCGACTGAAAAGCCCTCCCTCCTTCCGTCCGTCCCTATTCACTCCCCGCAGTGCATTCAACGCGGACACGTACGCCAACCGGTGGTCGCCAGCAGCAGCGCGCCTAGCAGCGGGAACAGCCGCCACCATGGCTCGCGCCATTGCCACCGGCCGCCTCCTCAACGGCTTTTCTCTGGTACCATCATTCTTCCTCGTTACCTTCTTTCCCTGCACTTTTGAGCTTTCTGTAGCGCTGTTGAGATTCCTTAGGACATCTTTTTTCTTCCGATATTCTTTCATCTCTCCCTCCTGCTCTGATGTCCTATCCTCCCCTTACAGTCTTCATCCTGACATCCATCCGCTTTCTCATCCTCATCCCCATCTCCATCCTCCCCTTCCCCTTGTCCCGTGCTCACGACATGCAGGTGCGGCCGCCAGGGCACCATGCGGGGACGGAGGGGCCTCAGGGCTTCTGTCTGCACAACAACGCAGCTGTGGCAGCCAGGGCAGCGCAGGCAGCAGGGGCCAAGAAGATTCTGCTGCTTGACTGGGTCAGCTGCTGCTTCTGCTGTTGCTGCTGCTGCTGCTGTTGCGCCTGGCTTTTCTTTTCCCATGCTTTGCTCGTTCCTTCACAGCGCCCTGGGTGTTGACTGATGCTCCTGTGTTTGTTTGTTTGTTTGTTTGTTTGTTTGTTTGTTTGTTTTTCTTATTCTTTTTGTTTCTTTCTATCTTTTTATGGTTGGTATCTTAGTTCAAACAGTGCTGCCTTAGTGTTGTCCTCTTGAGGCCACGTTCTGAGCACAGTGCATGCTTATACGTGTGCATGCATATGTCACCTCCCCCCTCATCTCCATCATCCCGATCATCCCCATCATCCCCCTCGCCTCCATCATGCCCACAGGACGTGCATCACGGCAATGGAACCCAGCAGATATTTGAAAACGACCCTTCCGTAAGCCCTCTCTCCCCTTGGATTTGCCGTTCACCACTCTTTTCGCATGCTTCCTCGCCTCCCTCATCCCCACACTCATGCTAACCCTTCATCTCGTACCCACACCCCCTCCCTCCACCCCTTTTGAGAATTCTCAAAAGTAAATCCGCCCCTTTTTCCATCCACCTCCTGTAGGTATTTCACGTGTCCATGTTTTGAGTCGACTCAAAACATGCTAACCCTTCATCTCGTCGTACCCACACCCCCTCCCTTGCCCCTTTTTCCATCCACCTCCTGCAGGTATTCTACGTGTCCATCCACAGGCATGAAGGTGGCTCCTTCTTTCCTGGCACTGGAGCACCCACGGAGGTATTATCTCTTCTGAGTCGACCCAAAAATGTAGTGTGCCATTGTAACGAGGTGACTTATGTGTCGCCTCGAAATTCTACGTGTCCATCCATAGGCATGACGGTGGCTCATTCTTTCCTGTCACTGGAGCGCCCACTGAGGAGGTATTATCTCTTCTCTTTACTCCCTCCCCCATGGCCCCTGCTCTCCCGTGCTGCCTACCTCCAAAGCTCCCATCACCTGAAAGCACGCCTTGTCCCCCTCCCTCCGATCTCCTCTCGCTCCTGTCTCCTCCTCTCCCCCCTCGTCCCCCACTCTCCCATCCATCCTCCTCCCCCACTCTCCTTCCCGCAGGTGGGGTCAGGGCCAGGGGAGGGTCGGTCGGCCAACGTGGCATGGCCGTGTGGAGGCATGACAGACGCGGACTACCTGGCTGCCTTCTTCCACCTCATTCTACCCCTCGGTGTGTGAGCCACTGCCGCCCTTTGTGTGTGTCAGCAGCTGGTTTTTTGAGGAATTTCCGAAAGCAAACGAGCCCTCTGTTTGCAGTGAACGGCTTCTAGTGCCTGATTATGTGCGGAGACGTTCACTCGTTCAGGCATTCAGTAGGCTTGTGGGATTGTTTTGAAAATTTTCAACCTTTACTCTGACTAGGCTTTCTAGTGGGCATGAGGTTAACCGGGTTTTTTTTTGTCACCATGCCCGCCCCTGTTGCTGTGTGTTTGTTTGCACGTCTGCATGTGTGTTTCTTTTGCATGCTTGTCCATCTGCATCCCCATATGCATGATGCTGCCCTTTCATCATATGTGGATGCATGTGATTGCTAGAACGGCATGTGATTGCTAAAACGGCATGTGATAATGCATGGCATGACATTGCATGGTATGGCGTGGCATGGTATGGCACGGCATATTATGGCATGGGATGGTATGGCATGGTACGGCATGACATGGTATGGAATGACATACTATGACATGGTATGGTATGGCATGGTATGGCATGGTATGGCATGGTATGGCATGGTATGGCATGGTATGGCATGGTATGGCATGGCATGGCATGGCATGGCATTGCAATGTGGGTGTTGCTGTCACCATGCAGTGTACGAGTTTCAGCCCGACGTGACAATCATATCAGCTGGATTTGATGCTGCTGAAGGGGACCCTCTTGGCGGATGCAAGGTGCTCTCTCTTCCCATCTCTTCCCCTCTCTTCCCCTCTCTTCCCCTCTCTTCCCATCTCTTCCCATCTCTTCCCCTCTCTTCCCTTGATCCCTTCTTCTTTCTCTCCCCCTGCTTCACCCATATCCTGCTCCCCACCCGTCTCCTTTCTCTCTCCCCACTCTTCTCCCACACACTCCGTTCTCTCTCCCCGCCCTCTCCTCTTGGGTCACTCTCCGCTCCTCCCCTGCATTCCCCATCTCCAATCACCCTCCTCGTTGCTCCGTTGCTCTCTCTGTTTCAATCCACCACGTTGCTCTCCACCTCGTTTCTCTCCACCTCGTTTCTCTTGCCTCTGTCAATCCCATCATGCCACAACATAAACACACCACACCACACCACACCACACCACACCACATCACCCATCCAATCCCATCCCATCCCATCCCCAGGTGTCACCAGCGGGATTCGCCCACATGACATCTCTGCTGCTGCCCCTCACCGCCAATCGAATGCTGCTCATTCTTGAAGGAGGGTGCGGTCGCCCCATCCCCTTTGCCACCTGTCACCCTCCCTTCTCCCATACCCCTTGCTCCCCTTGCCTGATACACGTGGTGCATTGTTTCTCACGCAATGCCATGCTGTACTATGCTCTGCCATGCAATCTCATCCCATGGCATGTGAAGGCATGCTTTCCTATGCCTCAAGTTTGCCTGTTCCTTCATACCATGTCTGTCTGTTCCTATCCCATGTTTGTATGCACCAGGTACAATCTTCTCTCCATTGCCTCATCAACCGCTGCTGTAATTCGAGTATGTCTTCTTACCCGTGCCATTTTTCTCCCTGCCTCATCATGCCATGTAATCCAACAATCCAATTCTAACAATCTCATCAGGCATCCCATCCCAACATCATCCCCGCTTCCCTGTTTCCTTCGTATCAAACACAACCCTTCCAAACAAGCTTCTTTTTCATTCATCTTCCTCTTCTCTCCTTCCCAGATCCCTCCCTCTGCCCTGACATTTCACCCCCCCCACAACCCCTCCTCCGTTTCTCTTCCCTTTATCTTCCCCAACCTTTCCCCTCCTCTTTCCCTCCCTCCCACTGCACCCCCCTCAGGTCCTTCTGAACCAACCCCCTCCGCCCATCACTGCACCCTTCACGCCTTCACCACCAGCCATGGCCGCCATTCTCCTAGCATCTGCTGCCCTTCGCCCCTTTTGGAAGTGCCTTGCCGCCCAATCTGCTGCCGCCTCCCCTCTGCTGATTCCTCTCATGCCCAGCGCTGCTGCTCTCACTTCTCCTCCTGCTCCTGCTCCTGCTTCTCGTGCTGGTGCTAGTGCTTCTGGTGCTCCCCCTGCTGCCGCTGTGGCTGTTGCTGGTCAGAGGGAAGAGAGGAGGGCGGAAGAGGTAGTTAAAGCAAGCACAAGAGCAGCCAGGAGGGAAAGCGGTGAACAAAAAGCAGGGACGCAGCAGCAGCAGCAGCAGCAGCGACAGCACGTAAGAAGGAGAGAGTTTGGCCGGGCACAAAGGGGAAGAGCAGGTTGGGCGCAGGCGCGAGCGCAACGGCAGCAGGCGCAAGCACATCAGCAGCACGTGCGGGTGCGAGTGGGGATTCGCTCGTTCCCCTCGTGGTGGGTGCTTCGCCGAGTGCACATGCCGTGGCATCTGAGCCTACTCAACAGTAACATCTGACTGACCTGCCTCACATGCCCATGCCATGGGTGTGGGCCGTGTGGGCTGTGGTTCTGGGTGCATATGGGTGCTCATGGGTGCTCATGGGTGCTCATGGGTGCTCATGGGTGCTCGTGGTTGCGCATGGGTGCACGGGGTCCATAGGAAGGAAGAGTGGCTGGCAGTTGCGAAGCACCTGCAAGTGGCTGAGGCGATCTGTTGTTCCGAGGGCTCAGATGGAGGCGAGGCGAATGCATGTGGCCATCAAGAAAGCGAGGAGTAGTGAATGGTGTTACGGTAATTGTTCTTGATGCCTTCTGCAGGGTAGCCCATATGAGGATCTTGCACAAAATGTGGTTCACAATGGATTGACCCTGTTGTTGCCTTGAAATCACTCGTGAACAAAGCTGATCCCAGTTCATGTTTCCATACGCAAATCAAAACAGCTGAGTCACTTATGAGGAACTTTGGTTGAAGTCAACTCCTACCAGAGCAATGGTAATCCAACGGTCGTACCGTACATACAGGCTGCACCAAATTTTGATATACTCTGACCACATGAATTGTGATATGATGACCGCCACTATGTGACTAGATCATTCCAGATCTGGCGCGGCGTATAGAAGAGCTTATGAAAATCAGAACAGGAGAGCTGCGACAGTTAAGCACACACCTCTCGTTTCTCCTAGTAACAATTCTAGCATCCTTCTAATAATCGCCTACAAACATCACCAGCTCAATTTCACACAGCAACAAGCAAGCTGCTGCTGCCTGCTGCTGCATCGACCCATGTCAGCAGCAGCACACGCACCGCTGGATGCATGCACCGAGCAGCATTTCGGCAGGCACGCTAGGAGTTATGCGGCGCCTCAAAAGCAGGCAGGCAGGCAGGCTAGGAGTCGCCGGTGCGCTTGGGCTGAGGGGCCAGTGTGCGCACAAGCGGCGAGGGCGGCGGCTGCGCCTTGAGCACCTGCACGAACTGCCCCAGCGCCTCGTGAATCTGCTCCAACGCCTGCGCCGGGATTATAATCACCGACCGGTCCGTGCCTTGCACCTGAGGCATTCAAGGGACGAAAGCGCCAGGGGGATATCATCTTATCAATGCTTTACTTAAATTAGGGGGATCAATGACGGGTCAGTGCAAAGAAAGGGGGGAACGGGAGAGTACAGGGCAGGAGAAGGAACTGGTTCAATAATGAGTTTTGCAGGCTTGGTTACAACATTGTAGGGGGGTGTGGCCCAGACACATAGTGAGGAAATACTGGGAGGAGGATGGAGAGAAAGAGAGGAATCCTTTCTTCTACCTCACATTATCTTCTATACGCTCGTGCCCTCGCGCCCCCATGCCCACCTGCTTGCCCCTCCGACTATCCTCGCTCTCCTACGAGCGGCCTCCCCCGTTCCATCCCAGCATTCTGAGACGCGCGCACGACCTCAAGATTCATGATACTTAGGGCTGAGATCGCGCACACACCCACAGGGATCGCGGAGCTGCTACCTCACCTCGGAAACCTTGAGGAACTGTCCGCGAACGTTCGACCCCAGGTCCAGGAAGAACCGCTTCTGCTCCGCGCGGATCACGCGCGACGCCAACACGTTGCCGCCCGGCCCGCTACCGCCGCCTGTCGAGGGGCCGCCCGCGGTGCCCGCCGATGGCGCTCCTGCCCCTCCCTCCGCCGCGCCGCCGGCGGCTGGTGCTGCCGCGGGTGCGGCGGCAACCGGCGTGTGGTGGAACGAACCGTCAACCTGCCGGCGGAAAGGAGGAAAGAGGGTATGGAGGCACGCGGCGGATGGGGGAAAGGGGAGGAAAGGGATAAGGATAGCGGGGAGGGGGAAAGGGATAAGGAGAGCGGGGAGGGGGAAAGGGGAAAATCGAAAGAAGAGCGTGAGTGAAATAACGAGTGAATCAGATCGTGCATGGTTCATTAAGATGCGCATTGTAGACGCTAACGACTGATTAAAAGCTCAATCGGGTGACTCATTGATAGATTGGCAGTGCAGGAAAACTAGCAACCCCACCCGTAGAGATCCGCTCCTAAACCCTCACTGGTCTTAAGCGGTATCTTCACACGCCGATCGTTCACACTCCCAATCGCTCACATTTCCAATCGATCTCACCTGCGTGGCGGGAACGGCGCCGGACGCATTGTTCGTGGGGAGCGCGATGGATGCCTCGTGGATCTCCACCAGCACGTTGCGGAACGCCGCCCACCCCTCCGCCGCGGGGCCACCGGCGGGCACGATGATGGTGGAGCGCGCGCGCGCCATGCTGGCCTCCGACACCTGCCGCGCGAGAAGACGAACGGACGCACCGGGGGCGCGGACGGTAGGGGAGAAGGATGAGAGCAAGGGCGAGACATAGGGTGAGTGAGACGACGCACCGCGGGCGCGATTGGGTTTGACAAACACTGAACGAGTCTTTTGACGAAGTTTAGGACTAGCGTCATGAGCCTCGCTGACAGCTACGACGAGTACTGAACTCCTTTTGTGCAGATCCGTCGCTTTGAAACTCCTTTCTCGCTTCCTCTCAGTCCGCACCCTCCTTAATCCATAGCAGAGTAGCTTTCCCTAAAAACTAATCCTTCATCATCTGACACAATGACCGCTGGAAAGCGCGCCCAGGGTAATGAACATACCT